AGACAGACAGACAGACAGACAGACAGACAGATAGACAGATAGACAGATAGATAGATGTAGCTCACTGCTGCAGGTGAGGTTGTCTCTGTTCAACAGTAGAGGAGACGGACAGTGGCAAACGTGTCCACCTGGAGAGTTGGTACAGGTATGGGAGCATCCACCGTTCTGGAGTTTACATTTGTCAATGTCTGAGCACACACACACACACACGGCCTTGTTCAGCAGTGGTCTGACCTCCGCTGTGCTTTACCTACTAATTCTCCCCCAAAACTCCATGTGTTATGTCAACTACTATCCTACTTAAATCGCTTCAAAAACACCAAGTGAACAGCGGTGACTGACCGACACAGGTGTGGCCATCAATGTGCAGCTGGTAGCCAGGCTTACAGGAGCACTGGAAAGATCCATGAGTGTTGATGCAGGTGTGTTCACAGGTCCTGTTAGACAATGAGCACTCGTCCACATCTGGGGAATCAGAGACACTGTACTTAACTGTTCTGTCACAGGCTTGATCATGCTGTTCACAAGTCATTTATGCATTTTCTAAGAAACCATGAGGACTCTGTGAGTGGGTGTTGCAACAGATGACATGTTAATAAGAAACAGCCTGTGGCCTCAGAGAACACAAGCAGTACAAGTGGTACTTTGGAGAATGATGCTGTAGTCCATGGGTACATGACTGTTTTACTAGCTGTTTGTGTTAGTTTCTACAACATTGTAAATGTAAATAACTTATTTCGAAATTAGGATCACTATATATATATGTATATATATATATACAGTATATACAGTATATATGTATATACGTTTATGTGTGTGCAGATATAATCTAAAACTACTTACCTCGCAGTAATGCGTAGTATCACAGTATTTGTGTGAAACAATTGCAGCATTGAAACATATGGAAATATGGATTTCCATGACATCTTATAGAAGGTTAAGACAATGTAGCACTGAAAACCCCAATTTGAAATGAAAATTTAAATGGAGAATAGAGTCTCCTTCTATAGGATCATTACTTTCTGTTTGTTCAAAACCAAGATGAACTCCAGGCTTTTGATTTACCTACGCAGTTGTGTCCATCCTGGTCCAGCTGAAACCCTGACGCACACTGACAGCTGTAACCTCCAGGTTCATTGGAGCAGTTGTGTTTACAGTGGCCATTGTTTACAGCACACTCATCAATGTCTGTGGGGGAAAAATACTTAAGGAACAAGTGACCAAGGAGTACTGCTGGCACTGAATATATTATTGAAAAGATGTCTAATGGAATTCAGAAGCAGGTAAAGGACAAACCTGCAGCCAGGGCTTACCCACCGAAACAAGAGAATCCATCTCCATTAAAACCCTGGTAACACTGGCAGTAATAGGAACCAATGATGTTACCACACCGAGCGTTGGTGTCACAGCCGTGACCACTGAAGGCACACTCATTCACATCTGCTTAGGCACACACACACAGAGATAGAGAGAGAGGTTGGGGGCGGGGGAGATATTTTACTACCTGAAGAAAAACATTAACATAATTTAAGAATCAGCAATGATTAGTAATTGATGTACTTCATAAGCTATCCTTGTTCCTGTCATAGTTTATTTGAAGACAAGAGCAGGGATGAAAACACACACACGCAGGTGACTCCATCTACAGGACATGAAATTTTTCCAATGGACCCACGTCAGTACTAATTACTTACCCTCACAGTGTGTGCCGTTTCCGCGGTAACCCGATTGACAAATGCACTTGTAGCTCCCCAGGGTGTTCTCACACACACCCTGACCGACACAGACAGCGAGACTCTCCAAACATTCGTCTACATCTGGGACAGAGAAGAGACACGCGGAGACACAGTGTGACTTTCAGAGTCCTACTTCTTCATTGACTTTTGGCCCTGTGATAATTCACAATTAAACATTTGTTGTTATTCAACAAGCGTCAGTCACCTGTGATGTACTCCTCCTGATTTAACTGCGAATACAACAGACGTATTCTCCCATCACCAAACCTCATTTAAATTTTCATTGAGGCTAAGTGGTATAAAATGTTGTCACTTCAATGCTGGAGTAGCTGCACAGTAGGAAACTAATTTCTATCCAAAACTTTTTTTTTCATTTGTCTCAATAAATAACCTTATTTATTTATAACAGCTTTTTAGAAATTAAATGTAAATAAAACCCAACATTTGACCCAAAAAATATAATGACAATTGGTGTTATGATTTTTGTTAAAAGACAGAAAACACAACATACCTTGACACACAGTGTAGTCAGCACAGACAGGACCTGAAGAGGTTGAGGAGAGAATTGGAAGAGAGAAAATAGATGTGAGGTGCAAAATGAAAAGGCTTAGAAAGGTTTTCTCAGGACTAGGAGAGGATGAGTGTAGGAACATGGCAGGAGAATGGCAACAGCAGCAGCAGACTGAAGCTGAAGTTATTAAATCACACACTCAGAGTAATGTAAAAAGAGAGCAAAACCAGTTATTAGTCTGATCCCACTCTGGTGAGGCTTAACTGGAGACTCACCCACACAGACGGGCGCCTCCGCTCTGAAGCCTGCCTGACACTGACAAGAAAAGCTGCCAGGAGTGTTAACACACACGTTACCCAGTTCTCGGCGACACTGCTCCTCGAAGCTGCATTCATCCACATCTGCAGTGGAGAGAAACCTGTTTCAGCTATTTAATTATATAGTATTACCATTATTACTGTTCATTTACTAGTACTACTAATAATACTACTAATAGAACTATATTACTGCATTTTCTGTTCAGTATGACAAAAAAGGGGATGTATTTAAATTAAATTATCTAATTATTTATTACACTTTACAAAGCTCTAGTCTACATACAGTGCTAGTTCTATCCTGTTGGTAGGTTAACTTCACTATTCTTAGATTTTTATGATCAAAAAGAATAAACACCATCAACTTTAACTAAACAGAGTTTTCCAAACCCGTCAAAAATCTCAAAATCCACCCAGGGAATGTTAAAAAACTTTAAGGCAGGGACGCAGTGTGGTGCTAGCAACCCTGGTGGTGTGCAAGCTGCCACTACAGGGTGCATAAGATAAAAAAATGTGATAAAGATATTTCCTTTGTAATGTGTAAAATCCAAAGCTGACTTTTTAAATTATTAAATAAATGCAGGCCATATATATATATGTGTGTGTGTGTGTGTGTGTGTGTGTGCGTCCTGGTCATTTAAGCATGATATAACATGCTGCTTTGTTAGCTTGTTTTTTTTAAAATTTCTAACGTGTGGGGTGCATCAACCCAGTTGGGATATAGAAGTGGGCTTTAATGAACACATTAAAAAAAAGGTAAACAATACATTAACAACACCTAACACACAGACAGCATCCCACGTGTTCTTAGAGCATCGACTGCCGGCTTACTGTACAATGTTTATAACATCATCTTTTATCAGTTTCCCAAGGTCACAAACCCTGGCCTCACCTTCACAGCCCCGTCCATTCAGGGCCATTGTATACCCCACAGGGCACAGGCAGGTGAAGGAGCCAGGAGTGTTCTTACATTCAGCATTTCCCTCACATGCCTGCAGACCAGTTACTGCAGCCAAAGAGCACTCGTCTACATCTGTGGAACCCAACAAGAAACCTCACTGAACATGCAGCAACGGCTGAAAGACACAGGTCAAAATTTTCTGATTCAACATCAATTTTTACTCTCTCGCACTTCTCTCCCATTTTTCTCTCTCTCATACTTTTTCACACACAGAAACCCACAGATGCTAACTCACCCTGGCAACCTCCTGGACCCATCAGGTAACCACGGAGACAGCTACAGGAGTAGGAGCCGGGGCTATTTGTGCAGCTGGCATGAAGACCACAAAGTCCTGTTCCCTCTGCTTCACACTCGTTGATATCTGTTGGGAAGAAACAGTTTTCAAAGACACGTGTAACATGCTGAGACGCCATGTAACAACATGTGGTTCACAGATGAGGAGTGTGTTGTGTAATAGTTAATGCATACTTGCTATGAGGAAAACAACGCTGCTGCTAATGGTGATTATATCTTTCTAATAAAAAAAGTGTATTATGAAAACCATCAAATCAAATATTAAATAGCAATAGATCAAATGACAGTCCATATAGTTAATTCAAGATTAATTGCAAAATGAATAAATTGAATTCATCATTTTTTAATGATTATTAAAGTGGTTGTTGTCAAATAACTCTGCTTTATGCAAGTGTCTGTTGTTTGCTATTGCAACAATTATTCTCAAGAATAATCTCGGGGTATTGAATATTAAAACATATTTTAGCATTTTTAAGAATTGGGCAGAATTTCCCAGTAATGCTTAGTTGTTTGAAATGTTGCATCCTGCATCATCATACATCAACAACAACAACAACAACAACAATAATAATAATATATAGTGCAATAAAAGGACACTTTATTTTTTGGCATTGAGTCATTCGTCTCAACACTGTGCTGCACTAAGAAAATAACAGGGTTTTGAAGCTGAATTTAAAAAGCAACATTCTTTATCATATAGTCCTCTGACTTTTAAATTCTACTGCTGTGTCGCTGCATCGATTCTTGACTCCCTAAGCAGTCACGTACAAAGGTCAAATCACTGAGGGAGTGTGCACTATTTGATTGTCAGAAACGTGTGGCATTAAAATTAATTTATGCTAATTTCTAATTATCGTGTTAGTCTTTGGCAGCCTTATAAAAAAAAATTGAAAAAACAATTTTAAATTTTCTTTCACTCAACCCATTAAATTCCAGTGGTTGCAAACTGTTTAAAATGCAAAGAAAACACTGCTTATTAAAACCCAATCATTTTTCCGGTTAAAGTTTATTTCTGAATCTAAATGCGGTAATGCTTTTATTGATTAACTGTCACATGAAAATAAGGATCATTGGAAGCCTTATACAGATGACTTTGACAACCTCTCACCTAAGCACTCTGCAGCCCCTTCGTCAGTGTAGCCAACAGGGCAGCTACAGTTGTCTCCAACCAACAACATGTCAGACGAACAGCCACATCCAGAGCCGCTCTCCAGCATCACCTGGTTCCCTGGACACTGGGGAGCAACGCTTGAGTTTTGAGGAATGATGGTGGTGGAAGGGGCTGCTGGATATGAAAAAAATATGTAAACTTTCTGGGAGAAATAAAGTAAAAACTGTGTTTAAATAAACAGTAAAAATAAACATACATGTGTTGGGAGTTTGGCTTGGTGTAGGTTCACTCAGATTTCCAATTGTATTGTCAATCATCTGCTTTAATCACAGGTTAATCACAAAGTCAGGCAAAAACAAGTAAATATATATCACATCATAGACCACACACAGGGAATGGGCCAAGCTATCCTAGTCTAAAGGTGAGATTTAACGTCAAAATCCTACGGTGGCTCTGATGGTCAAAACACAACAACATTCACAAAAGCCAATGACATTACAGAAAATACTACGATGTAATATTTGATACTATATTTATTAAATATTTATTAAATAGGGAAGTGGTTGACATGACATGATAATTTGGAGTAGCAGGAAATTAAAACATTTAAAACACGCTTGTTTTCATGGTTACTTAAAGATTGCATTACTGCCCTCTACTGGGTGTACATTAATCCAGTAAATATTTCCACAAAGAGCCTGCTTCAAAAACTCACATAGAGCAAATTCCTGACTCCTCCATCTGTAAGCTCACACTTTCCTGACCTCTTAGCACCAGTGTTGTAACAAAGGAGGCCAAGGTAGCAATTAGCTTTGTACCGTGACCTGCCCCTGAGAGCAGCCTTTAATGTCTGTAGGGTAATGACAGTCTGTTTTTGGGACCACACTTGGGTTCTGTTTAACTTTAAAACTAAAAACCCTGGGTTGATGAATTAGTTTCAGTCCAATAACCTAATCAGCAGCACAGTAATAAGCAGATATCTGACGATACCTGACTGATTGACAACCTGTGATTCCGTTTCTGACCTGGCTCTCTGTGTTCTCTTCTTCTGTTTCTTTCAGGACTTCATTCTCATTTTCCTCAGGGCTGCTCACAGGTTCTGCTGCCAACCCAACCAGCAGCACTGCTGACAGGAGAATCCACAGGTGAGTCATCACCTGAATCTGCGTGTGGAGACAGAAAAATAAAGAAAGATGCTGTGATTTATTTTTTTTTACGCATCATTAACAAAAATGTCACAAAACCCCCACCAAGCACATGTAGAAATGTTTGTAGCAACATGTTTTAAAAGACTTTTTTAGTTTTACAACCGTTCCTGCTCCATCACTTGACAGAGAGCAGTTACAGTTTACAGTGTCATGAAGCACACACTCAGTCAGAACAGTGGAGCGTGTTAAGACAGGTAGAGATCCCTGTTATTAACATCTGCACCCTGTGGCTGTCTGCACAGAACAAAAGAACACAGCTTTAAACTAGTGCAACTTTAAACAAAGTGATCTGACATCATCACATCGTCAAACACCTCAGGGAGTACGTTTACTGGCTGATCTGAATTTTACTACAGTTTTACAAACATTCTTAATGGAAACAAACAGCGGACAGCTATGGAGTTAAACATATAGAATCACAGCAGGAGTAAAAGTAAGTGAGCGGTTTACGGACTTACCCGGGGTTAAATAAACTGCTGGGAAACAGCGGCCAACGGTCAATGAGGAGTACTTTTCCAGATGTGTGGGAAAAGCACGGCTGTTCTCTCCAGGTGCTGGTTCCTACAGCCGCAGCTCACCACTGTGGTATCAGATCAGGACAGGAGGAGGGAGAGAAGAGGGTAGACGGCAGAAAAGTGACTCCACATCCTGTTCAGGAACTTCCCATTCCACACAATTCCACAAATCCCAGAGCAGCGGAGAGAGAGACTTCAGCAGACATGCCTGCAGGCTGCCGTGAGATGGTCCTGTTCTGAACCTTGACCTGGAGAGATTGACATAGATCTGTCTGAACTAAACTGAACTTCACTGAACTGAACTAAACTAAACTAAACTGAACTGAACTAAACTGAACTAAACTGAACTGAACTTCACTGAACTAAACTAAACTAAACTAAACTAAACTAAACTGAACTAAACTAAACTAAACTAAACTAAAGAGCCTAGCTACCTATCTATATATTTATTTCTTCACAGTTGTCAACAGTGAAATTGTGGGGGTATGAATGCTTGAATGATCTGGCCCCACCTTACCTAACAGAGTTGCTTTAGATTAGCTGATCAGCTCACAGGAGACAGGGTCTTCGCTACGGTCCCTTAACTCTGAACTGGTCATCTCTCTGTAAAAACACGCACATTTGTTTTCTATTGCCTTTAACACAGGAAGAACGGCTGCACTGTAATGTACATACTTTATTCTGTATTTTTCATCTTTATATTTTAGTCCTAGATTTTATGTATATATTTTAGAAAACAATAACACATTTGAAAAAATGTATCAAAAAAACAGAAACCCTTTATGGATCAGCAGAGCAGTAAGAGTAACGTCACATTTGGCCCCAATGTGTTTAATGATTTGAGCTTTAAACGCTGATTCAGCAGATCGCAGCTGCCAACTGATGTTCAATCAGGAGTGAAGGCAGTTACACAGAGAGCTGTAATGAAGCAGCAGCGAGTAAAACATTTTTACAAGGCATTAAAGCATCACAGACAGAGAGAGGGAGAGGGAGAGGGAGAGAGAGAGAGAGAGAGAGAGAGAGAAGAAAAGCAGCGATACATAAATACAACAATACGAGTGACTTTAACAGTCTGGTCGCAGCTGCTTTGTACATTGAGTTTAAGGCAAATGTTTCATTCCATTTATCAGCAACATCACAACACAGGCAGTGTGTGCAGAGCGACACAGAACGTTGAGGAACATTCACTGAAGACGAAGAAGAAGAAATTGACATCATATTACGTCTTATCGTATAACACACGGATCAAACGCATAAACAAATACACCAGTTCCTTCATTTGACCAGCGGTGGTGTTTTTACACAAACCACAATTAAAGTTTGTCGGTGTCAACACCCAGGCACCGCAGAACATTTGTTTGGTGTCCATGGTGTGAAATCTAAACCTCATGAGGGTCAAACATAGTTGTGGGTTAAAAGTCACCTCAGTCTGGTCATCTGGTCATCTGGAGGCCAGTCGTGTGGCAACTTTTCCAAAGGCAGAAAGATGTTTGATTTGATATCTACGGGAAAATATGTCAATTCCATGATATCAGTTAAACATTTTCCTGAAACGTGTGTGGATTTTTGTTTTTTAAAAATTCTGCATTATTTTGAGAGTAAGTATATAGTAGTATACAGAAGTAAATATTTAGTAAATATAACTGAGGTTGGTGACACAGACAATGCGTAGCAAACTTAATAAAAAATGTACAAAATATAAAAAAAATTTTTTGAAAAAAATTATCCAAAAACAACTGCTAACAGTATAAATAAGTAAGAATGATTCCATTAAAATAAACATGGTAGGTGAGAAATCCAGCAATAAATTACACAAAAGTTGAGACATATATTCAGAATATGTGTACTCCAAGGTACTACTTTGAATCATTTAAAGTAATCTCATTACTGTCTGTAACTTATAACAATCCATCGCAGTTAATGTCAATTAAAATTTCAATTTCAGCATCTATTTAAATGTTTTTTTGAGTGAATTTAAATTGAAAAACCAACATTCAAAAAGTCACGGTCCATCTGATCAATGGAGCTCATGTCAGATAACGTACCGTAGAAGTCTGATTGTTGACATCTGAACTACAGTCATATTGTCAGCTGGGTCTCTGTGTGGAGTGCTAACACAATGACATGATCAGTACAGTGGGTTAGACACAGTCCACAATTAATAAAATGTAAATGTATACAGAACACAGACACATTCAGGAACAGATTTATCCAGCAGTGTGTAGCATCATGTCAGAAGGATCTAGAAAGGTGTGTCCATCTGGCTGCCCTTAGCAGCAGGTGACACCACCCCGTAGCTGCTCTCCTGCCACCTCAGCCACTGCATATGGACTTCTTTCTGGACCTGTAGCATGGAAATTAATTTTATTTTAATTAATTGATTAATTAATTAAATAGTTAATGTTGAACTGCTCATCATATAATAACAAATTAAGGTTTGTCAGTATTTTTCATTGTAGAAATTAATTTATTTCTAGAGTGATTATTTCATTATTTTAAATGCTGTTTTTAAATAAAAAACAAACATATTTTTAATAAATCAGAGATCTGAATTCTCTTATAGCTGCACAGTGACACATATCAAGAGGGAATAAACTGAGCCTTGAGTCTAGGAGATGACCGTGTCGGCTTTGGGGTATTTATGTAAAACAGACTGGTTCTGCCCTCAGTCGGTCAGTGGTTGACCTCTCATTAATCATCACAGTTACATTAGAGCATTAGGGCTTCTTTGACTCATATAACAAGGAGAGGAGAAGTGGAAAATTATCATGCCTTTTCAGCCCTGACATCTTCTAAACACTCAGCTCCTGATGTCATATGATCTGGCTTTAAAGGCTTATTACGCAATGGAGGGCTTTAAATAATGTGCCTGAGAGAGCTGAGGTAAAGGTTGGAGCGCTGTGCTGTGCACTGACCTCTTGATTGAGGAAGCAATAGAGGATTGCAACGAGGAGCCCCTGTAAGAGAGATCATTTCAATCGTTACCACTGAGGGTTAAGATAAACAATTGAAGATGTGGAGTAGTGGAAAATATCAAACAGAGATGATGACACTGGTCTGAAGAAAGAAAATATAAAAATGTTTTTCTCCCACAGCCAGGAACCTGGGACAGTTAACGGCGTTGATTTGTGTTCATGTGATGCCCTGCTGTAAATCTTGACTGAAGTGGAAACAAGGTCTTCATTACAGACAAACCTAAGACATGTGTTTCAAATCATGTGGATGTTGAAAACAGTCTGTTTTCATCCAAAGTATACTGTAGCTGTAACTACTCCATAAAGTATTAATACAAATCAAATTCAAGTTACAAATATTGTACGTTGCTCTGTATTATAATAATAATAATAATAATAATAATAAAAATTGCAGTATGGACATCATTACAAGGCAATTAAACACTTTTTAAGCTCCCACGGACCACACAAAATGACCTGGCGGGCCGCATTTGGCCCGTGGGCCTTGAGTTTGACAAGTAGTATATAGTAGTATATAGTTCTTTATATAAATGTTTTATACCGAGTAAAAAAAAATGTTATAGACTTTGTTTGTTTTTAAATACTTCAGGAGGCACTAAAGATTGGACATTTTCCTAAAATTGTATATACAGTATGTGTATATGTATACATTTATACACGCACACACACGCACACACACACACACACTATAACCCACTTCAGTGGTTTTGCAGCAGTAGAAGTTGAATTGTTTCATTCAGCTCTACATGTCACCTAACATCTTATTTACACCACTGCAAATGAACAGTTACGGGTTCATTGATGCAGCTAATACCCACGAGAGCAGGAAACAAATCCAAAAAAGCTAATTAACTTTCAAATTTACATCAGTGATGTAATAGATCTATTTGGAACATCGTGTACATCAGACGCGGTTGCCTTTGAAAGATTGGTTTCAGTCCCACGGTCCCTGATCAGACACTGAGAGTTCTCTTCGTCACATATTACATTCTGTTTAGCAGCTCACAGGAGGGAGTTGGAAGTGAGTTTTGGGGCCGTTACAAAAAATGTTGCAAAATATTGAGTGTTAAAATGACACAGTCCTGGCCTGACCTGGAAGGATCCGATGCAGAGCTCGATGTAGAGGCGCAGGTTAACACTGAAGTAGTCGGGCAGAAAATTGAAGAACATGTAGTGAGTTCCAAACAAAGGGATGAGGAGGAGGGTGGACTTGGTCAGGCGTCTGTGCAGCACAAAGAAGGAAAACAGGGCCGGGAGATAAAGATACCTGCTGTTTATCACATGTCTAATCTTAATGTTGTTTTAGATAGCAGTGTGTGTGTGTGTGTGTGTGTGTGTGTGTGTGTGTGTGTGTGTGTGTGTTAACAGTGCTGTTATTCATGAGCGTGTCAAAGCAGCAGCAGGTGCACATTTATACGTAAGGATGTTGAAATATTCCAGTTAATCTGGCTGCTGGAATCAAGTGAAGGATCCCTTCAGTTTGGTGAGGTTTATCTTTTATAAGATGCAGATATGCATGACGTGCAGCCACACTTTCAGCTAATTACTCCGCCATGTTCAAGTAGAAACTCAGATGAGCCTCACGGTAAGTGGGAAGACAGACGTGGCCAGACTGATGAGTCTGCACTTTAGTGGTGACTTCATAAATGAATCATTATATTTCCAACACATCTTCTCTGACATCAAAGTGTCTACTTAGGTAATCATACTCCAGAAACACCATAATCCCACCATAAAGGGGTTTAATAGTTTAAAGATGGCCGGTCCAAACTTTGGATGTTCAAAGAAAAGATGAAAGCTAAACATGATTAAAGCAAATATTAGTCATTTGAGTTTGAATACACTGGTTTCTTAAAGTTAAAAATGTTGTTAGAAGTAAAACAAAATTGCAGTAGTGGGTTACTCTTAATGAATCTCTGGCTACTTTGCAGCTTAATAGTCACCTGTACTGGGAGGAATTGTTGAACTGGATGAGTCGAGGATTGAGTTTCTGTATCAGGATTCGGATGATGTTCATGAAGAGCATGAAATTGACCTGTTGAAAAAAGAAAAGGAAATGAATGTTACAGGAAGAACCGATGTTCAGCCTTAATCAGCTGACGCCTTGACAGATTGAATAAAAATGTTTCTCACAGTAACGTGATTATTGAATATCATGGCAATCATAAAAAATGTCCCGTCTGCAATTTGTCAGTTTAAATATACACACTGGCTTAGCCTTTAGATTCAAAGATTCAAAAAAGGTAAACAAAGCATCTGCATAGTAATCAATCAATCAGCTGGCTGCACAATGGAGGAGCTATCATTGAAATAACTGTGTTTGTTTCCAGCACAATGGAGGTATTTACCGCTATAGACACAACAATCGGTCCCTTGATGATCCACCAGTAGGGTGAGTTCTCATTGATGTCCCAGCATCTGTGTGGACAGACATTCAGCATTATTCGCTTCAATCAGCCTGTGAAGGTTTTCTTCAGGGTGATTAACAATTACTTCAGCTGACCACAGGAGGCAGACACGATCCCATAACAATCATCAGGATAAAGGGGCTAGAACAGAATGACAATTGAAAGTAAAACTGCAAAAAAAATGTTTTGAGGTAATTGTTTTTAGCAAAGAAAAGGCTTCAGATGAATCAAATCATAATTTAAAAATCAAAAATAAATTGGATTAAACATAATAAACAAGGCTTATAAGTGATTCATTAATTTTAATTTTATTTTAAAAATACATACACCTCAGACTTATCTCAGCAGTCCTTAGTAGTGCTGTGAATGGAGCAAAGACTGAAAAGGCTGTGAGCTCTCCTGTTATAGCAGCATGCTACATTTTAACCCATAGAATCTCTTACTTCTTGTTTCTGTATTCTAAAAAAAAAAAATTGCAGTAGACAATAATAATTAGAAATATTTATACAAACTCCGTGTCTTCAAAGTAGAGCCTGGATCCAATCCACAGGAGGATGAAGAGCACTGGGACACCTGTGACGGCACACGAAGACAGCACTGGTGTCAATCACATGCAGACACTTCATACTGTCATAATCACACAGACGCCCCACAAGTGGTTAAATGTCAACATAATCTATTCAGTGACTCACAGTAAATGTCAATGAACCAGATGTTGAATCACTTATTAGAACAAGTACAATGTGTGATAGGAGGAATCACCAGGTGAGGTTTGATCATAATACTACTGTATGAACAGTTTACATGATGTTTACCTCTTACTAAATAACAGGATAATGTTGACTGAAGTTGTAAATTCTTTGAAGATTAGCCTCAGTTTCCAGTTGAATCAGTTTTAAACAGTGTATTGTTTTTTCTAACCTACAGAACTTACACAGAAGTTGCACCTTATATTGAGACTCACTGACCGAGTCTAAGAGGACATTGTGTTCGTGAATGTCCAGGAGCACAGGAGAGTGTCCACTAACAGTTTATACTGGAGGAATCTGCTGCTAAAATCTAGATGTTCCACAGTTTGTCGAGGTAAACGTTAGCAGCTGTGAGAGTTTATCAGTGTAATACTAAATTTTAAATACTGCAGTATATATAATATACATGACATTGGGGTATTATGAATTAGAAAATGAATGTGATGTTTGAGGGGAGAAAAATACTCTTAAAAAATGACAGTGAAATGTCTTCTGAAGTTGTAAATCCTTTGAGGATCAGTTTCCAATTGAATTTGATTTAGACAGGGCTGAGGCTACGACGAGTGTGTTTTCTGATACAGAAGCCAGAGTACAAACAGTTTATCATTTTGTAAAGAGGACAAAAAAAAAAATAAGGCAGAATTATATCATCCTTTAACAAAGTGACAATGTTGGCTCTCTAACCCCATCCCAGCAGACTGAAGCAGCACAGATATCTGCGGCAGTGAGAGAAGGAGGAGAGCAGCAGGGAGTTCAGGTACAGCGCCTCCACCAGCAGCCAGAAGAAATTAGCCATGACACAGTAGTGGCAGAAGACAACAGAGGCCTTACAGGAGAACTACATATGTCAGGAAAAGACAGAGGAGGAAAGATAGAGGTTCAGATAGACTGTTACGAACGTGGCACAGAACCTCTTTTTGTCTGCATCATTATCTTACTGTGGAGAGGGTGCAGTGGTTGATGTCATCACTTGAGAAGAGAGTGGCGTCCTTTATGAACACCGCCACTGATTTTAAGATAAACGTAATGAAAAGCTGGATGTGAATGAAGTTCCTGGCACAACGCAACTTCCTGTGAAATACAAAAAAACAAAAAAACAATAGTCAAATTCAAATGAGTTCTGATTGAAATTCTGTCTGTGCTTTCCTCTGAAGAATATCAGTGATCTGCACCAACCTGAAGAGCAACAGGATCAACACGGCAACAGCCAGCACCGTCAGAGAAACGCTGTAGCCAACGGTGTATATTAGCTTCACTGTGGCAAAGTACGATTCTTCTGTCTGACAGTGAGATGAAAATGGATTTGGGTAAAGGACATCGTAAACACTAAATCCCATCAGGCTCCAAAATGAACTTAATGTCTGTAAATTCTGTGGCTGCAGAGGAGTGTGTGCAGAGGCCGTAAAATCAGACATAAAGGTGGTTTAAAAGGAAACCACACCAACTTTAGAGCCTGTAATTAATGTCTCTCCACTTCTGCCTGTGAAAGACTTCAAAGATTTTTTTTTTCACCTGAACACAAAAGACTCCCGGTGTAGCGGCAGAGGTGTTTTTGTGTTATTATTTTCAAGGAAGCGATGATTATAATTAGGCAGGGTGACTTCAATTGAGGAACAGGATCATTTCAGCTGTTACCAGATTGCTGGCATTCGATCTATGGAACTTCTTTCTTCTTTCAAAATTCTTTTCACAGCAGCAGCTTCCGAGTCGCATGTTACTCCATTGTCACTGAACCAGTCAAAAACATTGGAAACTCATTTTGTCATAGATTTCTCCACAAAAATCTATGACAGAATGGTGTGACAACTACCTGCAAACCACAGTGGAGTAGAATAAAGTAGAAACTCAATGTTGCAAACAGGAGCTGTATAAAAGGTAAACAAAAATAGAAGGACAGTAAAAAAAAAAGAGTAGTCAACATGAATTTAGAGAAAGCAAATGGAGAAGTAAAAATATGTGCAGACTCTGACCAAACAAAGACGTGTGTTCTCCTGCTGACATTTTGTGTTAACAACATAAAAGTGTTCATTTTTTCGTTTGTTTTCTCTCTTTTTTTTGTCTACCAAACTATTTTCCACAACATGTCAGAGGTGCAGCTTTTACTTCAGCTGTGCCTCTGACATGTTTCTTGTTTGCACAACCCTGGTCTGAGCACAGACTAATTACTCAAAAAAAAAACAAAAAAACCCCACTGTCTGTTCATCTCTCTGACATGAATACACTACATTAACTCTTCTTCTTCTCCTCTTCCTCTCATCCTCGATTTTCCACTACATTTCCATGGTCTTTAGTTTGCATCCAGCAGTGGGTGACCTTTCTGTATGTTTTCTTTGCCTATTTGACCTTCCTCCCACATTCTTGGGTATTGTGATAATTGGTCACTACACATGAGTGTGTGTGTGCGAATGCCTGTTTTTGGCTATTTGATACTGACACTCTGTCAAGAGCGTACAACACATTCTGTTTGAATTACTTGGGATTGGCTCTAACTCTTCTGGGACTCAGTCATTTGACAACTTCACTTTATAATCCATCCAAATAACAATGGCATTGTTAAAAAGTCAATTGTTTGTTCAAATTACAATTGTGCCTGTATTCTTATTGTGTTTTTCTTATTTTCTTCTTCTTAACCTGTGCCAGTCGCTGACCTCTGCAGCTACCCTGCCACAGTAACTCTTACCTCAGGAATGTCATCATCCACGCTGCAGGCGATGTGATATGGTGGGAAGGGACTGGACCAACCCCTGCTGGTGCAATTGCGGCTCACTGAACCTGAGGTGAAAGGTGAAAAGATCAGGAATTTAGAGCCATAAAGACATAAACTACTGGCAGGAAAAAAAACTCAACAGAATTATCCCATCAACTGACATCAAAAGAGTCTTTTTTTATCATTTAACAAGTAAATAAAGTCACCTAGAGCCACAAACACACGTCAACTATTTCATTGAAGGCAGTAGTTCAGTTTATGAAGAAGAGGTAGTGAATAGTTATACTAACAGATTTTATATACATTTAAAAGACCATTTGTTGTTGTTTCACTTGTTGTACCACAAAACAATGTTCATACATCTCTATTCAAAGCATTCATTCATCACCTGTACTGTTTGTAAAGAGGGAGAAAACTGCAGGACAGCCTCTCTGGACCGTATCTCCAATGACAGCATGAGGCCAACAGACGATGGCATCCCAGAATGGAGGACAACCTGGACAAATGAACATGTGTGGAGTTTACTTAGCAGTGCTGTGTCACAATGACAAATAGTTCTCTATCTATCCAGGTAGCTAGGCAGCTAGGTAGTTACTAGGTAGTCTGTCTGTCCATTTATTTATCTAAGGATGTGAATATAGTTAGATCCTACATTTCTCTAACCATAACATGTTCGTTTGTTCTATTATCATACCTTCATAGCTTCTGTTATCTTGTCGTGCAATGTCCTGAAGGCAGCGCTGCTCCTCTCTCTCTAGCTGATATATGTACTCACATTCGGGGTGGAGACTGGATGAAACCTGCAGCAGAAGCCAAAGACTGTTACCTGTTACTGTTGAAGACTGAATTACTCACAGACTGCCACTGACAGTGCACTTGTGTATATGTGTTTGTACGTGTACGATGATCAATAAAGCTGATCTCGAGGGGAAAAAAACAACACTGACATTTCTCTCCAACGACATGGGGAAAAGGTTGCGACCGTAGTCTCTATTTCACCTGTGCTCCAGCAGTAACACTGTTACTCAGCTCTAATCAGTGAGTCAATTTGACCAGTGGTTAGCAATAAATAACACAGACAGAGAAGGATGTCATCTAAAGCCTGACAACATTGATAAAGACTCATTTTCTACGCTGCATTTGTAAACGCTGCTGTTATGAATAAATCTGCAGAGATGTCACAGGAGAGAGATTCCCTCAGCTTCTCTGACACAGTGTCATATGGACTATAGCGGTGAAAAAATGACCAGATTATAGGCATACTTAAGTGGAAGGTCAAAGAGTCAACATGAACGTAGCCAGAGAAGAATCTCACTGCGTTCTATAGGCTTCTATAGGTTGAACTGCAAATGAGCCCATGCTGCCTTCAAGTGCACTTAGGTCAGCATATTATGTAAACATTCAAAGGAAACCACTTCACCACCAAACCTCCGTTATATCCCAGAGCCTGTGGTGCAGCTTTTCTCACAGATGGATTTCTTTCATGGAGCCAAAGAAGATAATAATCTGAATTCAAAGATAACAGCTGAGGAGCTCCGTCCTGGCTGGAGCATCATATTGTAGAAAAGATGTTCACACATTTGTACGACACGCTGTGCTGCAACTTAGAAATCTTGAGAGTGTGCTAGTGAAATGATCAAATGATAGTGCAGAGACTTCAGACTGGAGTGTGGTGGCGCTGAAGACACTCAGAGGAAGGACCTTTGATCACACAGTTGTCCTGACTTCACTGAGATGAATGGTCTCAGAGCAGATGTCACTCCATCAAAGATGTTAGGCTGAGACGGAGCGATGAGTCCGACTGGAGGACAGAGCTAAAATGGATCAATTCAAATGGATTTTCTTTTTCTTTTTAGACAATAATACATGACTGTAACGTTGTCTATTGATCAATTTTAACTCGCATTGATCACAGGGTGGCTGTAATTGTGCCTAATCACAATGAATTATACTTTTCCTGACATGCAGTTGTTGTTGTTGACTGAACAGGTGTTCAGTATGTAAGGAGGAATACATTTGAAGATCTTGATATCGTCTCCTTCCCTGAATTGTTATCTAGGAAATATTAATCCCTGTGGCTTCTCTTTGTTTGTGATGCAATGCTAACAATCTAATAGTTACCGTGCAAATTACTCAACAATTACTGCTCTTCCTGTTCAAAGGAAGACAACCGCCGCCTGAAAATGATGTGTCTATTTACACTTAAAGACACATGAGTGTTTAGAGGCGTCACAACTGCCTGTTGATTTAATTCCCAGCATGCACATTTAATTATCAGAGAATAAAGGCTCTTACATTCACGACACAATCCTGTATGCATTAGTTATCACATAAAGCCGTGCCAGGAAAATCATTAAACCCTATGCCATTTTTATCATAGTGGAAGATGAGTGTGTGTGTCATGTTGGAGAGATGTGACGTTCACGACGAGGGAAATATGTGCTGCAAAAAATTGCCCTCTGCACGGCCAGCGTAAAGCCAAGGGAAAGTGAGTGAAGCTTTGAACAGCAGGTGATGAGGTAAAAAGTATGGTTTGGTAATGACAGGCCCTGGAGGTGCATCTGCTCATGCATCAAAGCTGCCTGATGGGATAAAGCGAGCTGCTATTCAGACGCTGAAAATGTGTACGATATGAAACTAAATGGCAAGACAACATCCCCTTCTCTCAGCCGCAGCCATGTGCAGCCTGATGTAAAAATGTTCTGCGGGAGGTGAAGCCCATTATCCACTAACTACCCAGAGAGGGGCCATCAGATTGGACTCACTTTGCAGATGTTACCTCCTATTTTCAACAGTGAATGAGGTGCAGCTTTCCCACGGCGGTGGAGTAAAAAACATATGAAGTCTGCTCAGTGATCCAGAACGAGAACACACAGTTCAGTTTATGAACTCCATGAATTTTAGTACGCAAAGGGGAATGTAAGACGTAACGCTCCCCTCAGGAAATAAATGATACAGGCTTTTATACAAAATTACATTTGAATATGAACACGGGGGCTGAATTCCAAAACTACGTTAATCAAAACAGAAAAAACAGCAAAAAAAAAAAAAAAAATAGGTCTTAGTTCATCATCAATAACTTATTTGATTTAGATTTATTTAAATTCTCCTGCAGATTGAGGCTCTACACCCCTATGTTGCTCAGACCTGGAAGATGAGGGCACATGAACAGCCCACCGCCCAGACACTGTGTGGTGGTCAGCCTGGAATACAGACTGGAAAACAGTCGGAGTCGAATTAACAGCGCTCATGCAGGAATGTAGGGACGAGAGCAGGGAGGCGGGGCTAGCTCCAGTGGAAATCAACAGCAGAGGATTTAAAGCTAAATCCAGCTAAGAATCCATCAGCTCGTAGGACAGACAGAAGAAGCAGAACAAGCTTCTCTGTGGATGTGGAGCAGACGGGGAGGAAGGAAGCAGGAAGTCAGGAGCAGATGGACGGTGATTTGGCCTCCACTGTCGGCCCACCAGCTGGGGAGTGTTGTGGTTGAGAGCCAAAACACTCAGTGATGGTTGGGCACCAGCTGATGACGTCAGCCCGTGGCTGGAGGCTACAGTTACTTCACTGAAGTAGGTGGACAAAACACTCAGACAGGTGTTTGTCATGGGCCGACATACTGTAATACTTCTTGATTTTTTTTAAATAAAAGAGTAGTGTGAACACTCCCTTTCTTACATTTATTTGTATTTATGCTTATTCAATTCAGTGGATGGGTGGTTAGTGCTCTTGCCTAACAGCAAGTACGTCACTGGTTTGCTACTTTTTAGAATTTGTCCTTCCATAGATTTAACACACTGGATTTAATACACTCAAAATATTAAAAAACATAAACCTATAATAAAATGAAAATGAAATCCTTAGCATCTCCCCAGCTGGTCCAGCGTCAGGACACAGAGGAACCAGGGTCCAGGATGACTTGTTTCTTTAGTAGACTCATTTAAGCATTAATTAATAATTTATATAATATTATATACATGAGTATCAGCTGCAAAATATCTCATTTTCATTTTTGTTTTTTGGACAGACCTTCAGTATAACCTTTAAAATGTTGTGTCATCACAAAAGAAAAATCCCAACTCATTTAAAAGGATGAAAAGGCTTCAAAAAATAATACATGTGTAAGTGAAGTGGGTGGGGTGATAAAAAGAGAGGACGACCAAACTAAGTTAGACACTGATACCACAGGTTTATGGAAATTAATTATTGTTAGTTTCATACTGTCCTTCAACTGTGTTTTTTTTCTCCTAAACATTCAAAACAACCTCAATCTACCATGGACCCTTGTCTTGTCAACAGTGTGTGTGTGTGTGTGTTATTCACCTCCAGGAAGTCATTATAATTCTGAACAGTCCTGAGCACTGAACGACAAAAGCATAGATTGAATCAAGTGGAACGCAGTGGTGTCTCACACTCACTGCAGCCTGTTCTCCCTGGTTTGTTCTGCTGAGGATATTAGAGAGACCTCTGTGATAACAGTTATTGAGAAGTCCAGATAAAATGCACTTGTAAGTGTGTGTGAGTGAGAACAAAGCAAAGAAAAATCATTCAAACATTCTGAGTACACACTGACTATTATTTGCGGGTGTACGTGTGTGTGTGCGTGTGTTATTTGAATGTTACATTGACATTTCTGGTTTAAAAATCGTTGATGTGTGAGATTTACACTGAATATCTCTTTAATGAATAGCATCTTTAATGAGCTTTTTAAATGTGAGCTTGAACAATCAACAAACCCCATTTTGGGAAAAGTTAGTAAATGTGCTATAAATGTAGTAACAACAAACATATGTGATTTTTTTAAATTTACTTTCATGTATATAAATAATTTAAGGACTTGATTTTTGAACAGTAACAGTCTTGTCTTTGTCTAAAAATCACAGTGGCAGAATATGCTGCTGAATGTGCATCACTTTACTGCTCTCACTGGGGGAAAAATATAAAAATATAAATATAAAGTTTCATACACGTTATATATTTTTAATTATGTTTTCATTGCAGTTCAACCTGAGTAGAAGCTGGAGTCTTTGATCTCCCATGCCTTAAGCCAAGTACACTGGGTTTAATGCTAAACTGCTATTATTATTCTGTACATAACCTGCAGTTCAAACAGACACAAACAGGTTTCTGCTCACACTAGTGCAAACACACACACACACACACCTTGACAGTACAAATAAGAGGTCAGCCAACAGAGCCATTAAATGTCCCTGGTCACCGGTGCAGCCAGTGGCTAATGCATCCACAGTTTGCATTTCTACTACCTCCAAGGTTCTATTAGGAGATCAGAGGGAACGATCGCCAGACTTGGGCCATAACTTCTCGGCTCAGGTCAATTTTTATGGTCGACTAATGGTTGGTTATTAACGGTTGGTAATCAATTTCTTTAACGGAGCCTCACAGCGTATCCATAGTTTTTCCTTTAATAATTTTGGTAAATATCTGCTGTCTGACTACTTTCGCCTAAATTTGAGTCACTGTGCCATTTCTGTTAAATATCAGCATTTTCTGGGCTAAAATCAATCACAGCACACATCTCAGGTTTGAATAATCACATGTAGTGACAGAAACATGAAGCAGCCACCTAGTGGTTCGTGTTGTGCTTTGCGTTTGGCCTGGATGTATTTAACAGCCGAGTAGACAAACCCAATTGTTACTCTAGTCCAGGGGTGGCCCACCAGTCAAGAGGCTAAGAGCCACATGATATACATATGCACACATGAACTGGCATCCCTTTAAAAAAAAAAAAAAAATAAAACTCTCCCACAAAAAAAACTCTCCCACACTTCCTATATACATCTGTTCATCTGTGCAAATTGGGTTTTCCCTAAGTCATTTGCATCAACACCCACTGGCATGAGATTCACATAGTGTAAAAAAACAAAATTTGACATGAACGTAAGGCCTGCTCTACGCTGATGATAGTCTAAAATATTACAATGTGCACAACTTTGTCTCATTGCACTGAGCATTACTAGTAGTAATCCATCCATCCATCCATCCATTTTCATCCGCTTATCCGTTACCGGGTCGCGGGGGCAGCAGTCGCCACCCAAATCACACTGCACCGTACCAACCCCCCTGAACCTTCCTGCGGGTGGTGAGTCCACTGGAAGGGACCTAGTAGTAATAATAATAATAATAATAATTATTATTATTATATATATTTTGTTTTTAATAGGGCAAATAATATTACCAACCAATCAGTTAAAGTCATTTGTCGTCAAGGCTTGTGATTTTGCATCTCAAGTGAAAATCCTTGGTTTCTGGACACAAACATGGGTGTATTTTGAAACATGCAAACGCTTTTTCTTTTTCAAACAATTGATACCAAATGGGAAAATGTTAGAGTAAATGAATATGGAAATTACTAGTATAAATACTAGTACTGTATTAGTATTTTTGATTTTTTTTTTTGCATGTTTGTCTACTGCATTTCAATTCCCACTTCATCTTCCAGATAACTATTCACAGATATCTCCCCTCCCCTCTCATATATACTACACTCCTTCATTCCTATCCGCTACTGTCAAAACCAGAAGCAACATGAAATATAGAGTCTGAACCAGACGAGCCACAGTATCTACTGCTCCAAATCTAACCTCGGTCAATGTTATGTATGAACTCTAAATCACTTGTGTTGTCCACTGTATATCGACTTCTCTCCGGATGCAACACGTTGAAAGTAAAAGTTACGGTACACATCTTACTGAACAACCACCACTGCAAATTTGCATAGGACACAGACACACACACACACACAATGAACAAGATTCTGTCTTTTGTATAGCTTTACGTGCATTCCATGTATTACGTCAGGAGTAAATACCAGAGAGAATTATAAAGTTCTACAGGTGACAGAGGATTTGTTAGATGCAGCAAATGGAGATCAAATACTCACAGCTGGAAGGAGACAGAGTGACAAAAAGAGCCTGCTGATGTGGAGAGTGGACATGGTGACGCTGCTGAGAATCCTCTACCGATCTCACCAAGCGCTTCAGACAGAGAGCGAAACTGCATCAGGACTAGATGCTGAGCTCTACTCTGTTCACTCACTCTCTCTCTTTCTCTCTCTCTCTCTCCTTTGTGTGTATGTGTTTGTGTCTCTTCCCAATAGGTAATATTAGCAGCAACTGAAATTCTAATTTAATACTGTTTCTATTCTGTGTTTTTTCTATTTGCTACTCTAGCAATGGTTCTCTTAGAACACATTTAAGTTCTATGTTCTATGACTTGAGTATCCTCATACTACAGTTTTCTGTAGTAATCTGCTGGTGCAACTACAGCAACCAAACAGATTTAATATAGTTTTTAAAAAAACTGTCATCATGGCAAAAAAGAAGAATAAAAAGACAGAGAAGAAGTGTCACGATCCAAATATATCACACATTAAAAAATAACAGATTTGTCCATGTAGCACAACCAGATCTCTGACAAAAAGCAGCACAGAGCTTCATTAATGTGATCAGCCTTGTTTTTCTCTTATTGCTTCATAAAAATTTCTTAAAAAAGAAAATGCAACAATAAACTTCATGCTGTATCCCGAACTATTTCATCAGAGTACAGGAATAGCTAAAGGGTTCAGAAATGTGCATGTACATATTACATTGTGTTTACAATATTAGCAGATCTGTATTCTTTCAGAACAGTACCAAGAAAAGTGTTCTGTGAGAATGAGGAGAAAAGGCACTTTTGGGATTACAGCTTATCACTGGACAGAAGGATATCTAACCTTTCAGTTTTTTATTTATACAGAGTATTTTTTGGCAGTATTCTTCTAATTAGGAAATTGCTACTTCTGAAAGACAGAGTTTCCTATTTCCTTCCCTTCTCCTGAGATGTTTGCACAAAGTGCATATGCTTTGTTTTTCAATCAGAAACCTTATTAAACCCAAATGGGTTATTACTTAGTGCTTTTGTTTCCTCACCATGATGGAAAAGTGCAAATTATTTTTTACAAATTAAATAAGTGAACTAAAAAAAACCATCACCTTCTCCTTTGTCCTTTGCAATAACGTAGCATTTAACGGCAACGGTCAGTTAGGAAGGGAGTGTTACAGGAACTCATTTTTGTTTTGCTGTTGAGGAACAACTTCATAAAAGTACTTGGTCAATTATTAAAATAACTGCTGTGACATATGGCTGCCTTTAAAAAAGCGTTTACAGCGGTCTAGTCCAATGAGGACTACAGTTATTGCCTTAGTACATCTAAAAACACGTAAAAACAATAAAATATTTAAAAAGCTGTTAAAAACTGCAAAAACTGTTTCTCCAATCCTGACGAAAACCAATGTGACATCACAGTGACACTGTGATCATGTGCATAGAACATCTTCAGGAACAGTCACTCCCATCATAGATAACAGGTTTCTCCATGGTCAGGTGGTAGAATACTTTCTTGGAGATAAATCTGTTGGAAGAAGGACTTCTGATCAACAGAGGCCAAATTTAATAAGAAAACCAGAAGATATATATATATATGCATATATGTATGTATATATGCATATATGTATGTATGTATGTGTATATATATATATATATATATATATATACACACACACACACACATTTGATATGTAAATCAAAGTTACTGCAGTTTAAATGAGATTCGAGAGAGAGAGAGAGAGAGAGAGCCTGGAAATGTTCTAATGACATTGAGCTCCTGTAGTCTGTTGATCCTACAACCGGACAAACATTTCCTGTGTTTCAATCGCTGTAAACATGTCCCGCCTTCCAGACCCCAAACTTATCTCTGATGGGCTTTTGCCCATTATTGTTCAACCTTAACATCAACATTAATTGGACTGATTGTGCGTGATCTTTTTTTTATCCATTGGCAAATGCGGAGTTACATTTCTACATTAAAATGTAGCCCCACATAACGTCCTTCATTGTTTTTGTTAATGTTTATCTTAGGAAAGAAGGTTACTGACCAAGTATTTGGAAAAATAAAGCAACAATAGTGGGAAAATTGAATTATGGGATATACAGTGCACGTCATTCTATCCATGTGTTGAAATGGATTATACATTTTAATCAGGATAATATTGCAAATTATTAATGTGATTCACATGTTAATTATTGGTTGTTGTTCCTGTACACTAACACACACACTGACACACATACACCAACTATTCATTCATGAGTTTGTCTCCCTATTACAGGCTGATGGCAGATGTTAAAGAGATCCATACCGTGAAAAGGAGTTGTCAAAGATGAGGATGTAGTGACCGGGGTGACGGACTTTGAGCTGACCCTGAACTGTCTCTTCATGAGAATTGCAGCGAGTCAGAGGAATCAGCACCTGAGAGCAAAACAGAGAAGTGGTTTTAAACAAAATAAAAAAGAATAGATCATGAACAAAGGGCTGATTCATTTAAAATTCACTGGTCTGAGTCAACATTCATGTCAAGTAAAGCTCAGTGCAATTTGTCTTATAATACAAATTTGATGCTTTCTTTGTTTTTCGTTTATCAGACACCAACACCTGATCAGGTAATAAATAGAATGTTCTGACAAGTTATAACCCAACACACTAATGAAACACCCTGGTAGGAGCTGCTCTGTTTTTATTCTGCACTTGTGTTTTTCTTCAAAATTAGATGCTTTGAAGTTGATTTAGTATTTAGTTGGTTTGATTTCTATAACATATACTACAGGATAGTGAAGTAATAACAATGCAGTATTCGAGTATTATTCACAGGTTTATGTTCTTTATGGTCCATCAACAATCATAGTTTTCTGATTGTGAGCATCATACATGGAATTAAAAAGAAGAAGAAGTGGTAGTTCCTGAAAACAGTTCCTGGATGTGCATCAAAAGTACTAAACATGAAGTCCAACTACCTTCGTCTGTTCCACTGGAGTGTCAGCAGATTCCTGGTAAACCACACTGAAGGAGATGCTTTTGGGCTCAGAGGAGAACATCCAGCTGATGGTCTGGCCACAGTCTCTCATGTCAACGGTTAGCACGCTGTAACAGCTGGACTTGATGAAGAGCTCCCTGGAACCATCTCCGAACTGAGAAATACCATCGATGCTGAGAGGAACAACCATCCTGTGAGAAGACAGGTGAACAGGAAGACCCTTGAATCCTACTGATGCCTTAGGACCCCTGGACAGGACAAGTGACAGGAATGTCAACCTGAATAAAAGCTAACTCACGTGACTTCTCCTGATTTAAGAAGGGTAATCTCTGAATGGTCTTCAGCATTATCTCCCAGGCCTCTGCAGGAACAAAGACAATATTGTGTCTAATGTCACTGGCTCTTGACTGTGAGATCATTGCTTTGATGCAGCAGCATAGTTATCTCATCTAAGTACTGCAGACATTTATACATTTAACCACAGATCACACAGTTCTAATGACAATTGTCGTCATTTTTCAGTTGTTTCTACTTGTGTGTATATATATATATATATATATATGTAGAAACAACTGTTGTTTCTACTTGTATATAAGTAGAAACAACTGAAAAAAGTTCTAATGACAATTGTCGTCATTTTTCAGTTGTTTCTACTTGTGTGTATATATATATATATATATATATATGTAGAAACAACTGTTGTTTCTACTTGTATATAAGTAGAAACAACTGAAAAATGACGTGTATATGTGTATATATATATATATACACACACACACATATATATATATAGATACATATATATACACATACATATATATAGCAGATATAGTATTACTATACTGTAATATAGTATTACAGTATTAGGGATGATGGAATAAGCTAATTACATCATACTATTATGTGGAGTTTAAATAGTTCAAACAAATCATGTGTTTTCAGTCACAGCTCTTTATCCTTCACTCACATGTTCAATGCCCCAGGAGGAGGTCTGTCTTGTTCTCCATCCAGTGAGCCTCCGGTGGTCTGGGAGTTGGTGTCACTGTCGTAGACACCATTCACCTCTTCTTCGGTGATGATGTCAAATGCTCCATCATCAGATCTGATACCAGACTCAGAAACTAGAAGAAAACAAAACTGCCATTAATTGATCTAATAATCCAAATACTTATTTTCACAATCAGAAGGACAGATATAAAAACATGCACAACAATATATGGAGAATTTTATGTAGGGTTGCCATTTCAAAGTTTGTAACATTATACTTTACAGAAAAAAAAAACCTCTTTCTGGGAATAAAAGTCAAACCTTGTTCCGCTTTTCTATAAAATAATTAGGATAAACATTCTGTCATTGTTCCTTTATAAGAGGAAGTCAGTCTTTTCACTGGTTTCCTATTTAACCTACAGGGAGGAAAGCAGATGTGGGCACAGAGGACAGCAAAAACCTTTTCAGACCAGCCTTGAAAAACAGAAAACATCAGTTGGTAGCAGTTATTTCTGTCGTGCTGAGCGTCTCACCTGTCACTCGAGGGGTGGGTGTGTACGGAGCTGGTTCAGGAGGAGGTTGAGGTCCCGCTCCATCTGGAGGAGGCTGTGTATCTGCAGGACTGAGCTCTGCTTCTGTGAATCTCTCCACCACTGCAGTGTGCTGGGTGTAACACTCCTTGCAGCATCGCTCCTTCTTCCCACTTTGTTTGGTCATCACAAAGTTGTTGCTGCAGTAGTAGCAGAAGATGCGACCACAGAGTCTGGAAAAAAAACAAAAAGTTTAGACAGTGAGTAAAGTGATTATTATTATTTTAAAGCTTGATTGAACAGAAAAGGCAGTTATTTATTTCAACAAGCAACAAGTCATTCGTTCTGAAGAATAAAATACAAAAGACAACAAGTGGGAGAAATGGTACCTATTACCACTCCAAGGTTTTGGTGTCAAACATAACATTCATTAAAAAAACGGTGTTCTGATAAGACTTGACAGTCAGATATGAAACTAAACAGACGTCAGATGTAATGGAAAGAATGCTGTGTCACGCATAAGCCGCAATAAATAATTAAATTTAGAGGGCTTTTTTATTACATATTTTACACCAGAGCTACTGAAATGAATGTTTCACTGCAAAAATTAATAATAAAATGAACCAGACTTACATTTACTCATTTTAATGCATATTCAAAATAACACAGTTTATCCAATAACTCCACCGTCCATCTATTTCCGTGCAGTAATCGAGAGTATAAAAACAGTTGATACAAATGTTGTCTGTACATATTGTTGAAAAAAGTTTTTTTCAACACACATGTACTATATATGTATATACACATCTGAAACACTGAGACATTGTGTACTGCGGAACCAATGGTTCCTGAAACTCCCACTGTACCTGCAATGATGTCTGCGCAGAAACCAGGTGAACTGGCCCTGACAGTCCAGACAATGAGTGGCTTCTTTATCCATCAACCACCAGCGCTCCTCCGCTCGCAGCTTCTGCTCAAATTCCAGAGCATCTGTCTTCTGCCACAGAGCATCTTTGTCCCTGATGTGAAGCAAAGATTAATATGAGGAAGATCAGTGTCTTTGTAAAGAATCTATTTTTCTTATATTTAAGTCAAACTAACTGTCTCGCTGAACTACTATCAAACAAATAAATGATGCCGTGTCCTGTGCTGTAGCTTAAATTAGTTTGGGCACCATGAGAATTTTGTTTTTGTGTTCTCTTCCTTAGAGTGTGATGACCTAATGTGTGGATCTATGTATAGAAGCTGTTCATCTTCCTATTACTGTGCCCTGCACGGTTGGCTGTGAGCTACACTGCTCTCTGTCAAAGTCCCACCATCAATCCTGCTCTTAGTAAACTCTCCCAGCATTCTTAGACACATCTGTCCTGCTGCTCTGGCTCAATCAAAGGTGACAACTTAAATACCAAATGGCCACAGTGAATATTAAAGGGCAGATACCGTAGTACAACATTTATTTTGTTTCTTTCTCTGTCTGTTTCTTTTTGTAATACCTGATGAGCTCTATCAGTCTCTCTTCGAGGTTGGTCTTGGTCCTGTTTAGGTCATCTATCTCTGCAGTCAGTTTCAGGCTCTGGCTTTGCAGCTCTGTGTTTGCTTTGTTGAGTTTCTGCTCCAATTCCTCACATCCCATTTGAGCAGATGTGTGTGCTTCCTCAACCCTGAAGAAAGCAGAGAATTACATCACTTTATCAAATTATAGAATAAAATTCATATGTATAGTTGGTTGGACAGGACCCCACCTGTTGACTGCTTCTCTCAGCTGCTGAATCTCACTTTCACTCTCTCTGATGGTTGCTTCTGCTTTTGTGATGTGGGCATCTTTCTCCCCAACTAGCAGCAAAAACTGCTCATTCTCAACCTTTTACAAAGTGGAAAAGGGCAAAAACAAAACAATAATACTGACATCTGCTATATAATTTCACAATTACTGGGTCATTGAAGTTTAATCTCAATCTGCTTTCCCTTCTTTTATTCTCTTTGTATAAAACAATTGCATTTTGCATGCAAAAACTATTTTAACAATATGAGTTCTTCTGATTTTATTAGCGTCAAAAATGGCCTAAAGTTTTTAATATGTGCATCAAATTCAGCACTGTTGCCTTCCAAGTCAAGTGTAACTGATGATCTTTCAGTAACTGATGACTGTCTGTGTGGCGAGACACATTTTTGTGTACGTGTGTTCATTAAGAAGTTGATTTTGATTTTTTAAAACCCACATGAAGTCTGTTCTCAGCTCAGCAATGACCCCCAAATATCAAGTGCTACTTTTTGGTTCATCAAAAATGAGAATCACCTGTTATTTCAGTACATGTTCTACACCATCCAACTTTTCTTTCACATCTCCATTAAATTGTCCTGTGACTAGATTAGCAATTAGCTCTAATCAACTCTAGCAGTAACATGTAAGAGTACCACAGCAACACCTGTATTCCCTCATGACTATGTTTCAGACTTTGTTTTTGCTGACCTTTTTTTAATCAACTAAGCTTTTCTAGTTGACATCACCCACTCCCCAAAGAGAAAAAAAAACTAAAACAATCACTGCATCTCACTACAAGCTTCACTTAAGACTCTGACCTTTAGTTCAGACACTTCAGTCTGCAGGTTGTTTACTCTCTTCAGCTCCTCCTGTAGTTGAGTTTTCACCTTGTTCAACTGTTCAGTCACACTCTGAGATGTGACAGTGGATGACAGGGGAGAAAACAAGAAAAGTATAAATGCATTGCACGCAACACATTTCACGCTGATTCTTCGAACAACATTAGAAGACAGCAACGTAAAAGTCAGAAAAACAGTTGGTCAGGTGTACTCAACAACCTTCATCTCACCTTCATCTGATTCTGATGGTTCATGTTTTCTGAGCTCATCTGAAACTTTATGGCCTCCATCTCCTCTTTGTTGGACTCTTTGACATTCTGCACCAGGTCCTTGGATTTTTCCAGCTGCTCCTGGAGCTCCACAATATTCTCCAAGAGTGACTCTTTCTTAATCAACTCCTGTCTTATTTGGTAATTCTCCTGCCGTAGCTCTGTCACACATTCTTCTCCTCGCTCAACTTCTTTCTCTAGCTCTGCGATCCTGGCAGTATCACTGGTCCATAGCTGTGTGGCCTCTTCTTTTTCTGCACTCAGCTTACATATGGTCATTCCCAACTCTGCCATCTCTGTGTTTGCTCTGTGCAGGCCCTCACGTATCTCTGTGTTCTCCAACACAAGCTTGTTGTATAGTGCCTTCAGGCTGGACAGCTCATCTTGAACTGCAGCTGCTGATAGTGCTGACTCAGCGTGTGAAGCCATTTCTCTATTGTGCTTTTCCATCAACTTCTCTTCTTTCTTTTGGCACTCCATAAGCTCCTCAATGTGCTTCTGATTCAAAGCTTCAGTCTGAGATTTCAGCTGCTCAGTCAAAATCCTGAGCTCATCCCTCTGAGCCTCGGTTACTTCCAGTTGTGCTTGAAATGTAAGCTTTTCCTCCTCAGACCGTTGGCCCTTCACCCTCAGGTCTAAAGTTTCCGCCTGCAGCCTGGACACGTCTTTCATACTTAGCTCTAACTGACTCTCAACCACAGCCAATTTGCCTATTATTTCCTGGTTTTCCTTTTCTTGGACAGCACTTCTTTCTAGCTGAGACATCTCCATCGCCTGCTTCTCGCAGGTCACTCGTTGGATCAATTCTGCCTGTTTCGCAAGGGTGGCTTCTGCATCAGCTCTGGCTATTTCAAGCTCTTTTTCCTTGGCAATTAAAGCTTTCACCTTGGACTGAAGCGTTTTGAGTTGAACCTCTTTATTTACTAACAGGTCCTCTTTTGTTTTGAGCTGTTCTTGCAGATCGCCCTCATTCTTACGCGACGCTCCCAAATTCTTCTCCAGCTCTGCGATTTGTCCGTGAACACTCTTCAGGTCTGCCTGCATTTTACCCAGAGCAGTTTTCACAGAGTCCTGCTCCTCCTTCAGACTCTTGTTCTCCT